AACACGGTTTGGTTCCACTAGTTGGACTAGATATAGCGTAAATGATCATTCAGACCGTATGCACTATCTGACAAATGAGCGCGCGTTCGCGACGCGGTTGGTCCACCCAATGACCTGTCTATAAGAACCGCGCCGCGGCCGCACGCCTCCAACTCATATGCTGCGGTCACGGCTTTTTTGAAAGATGACCAAACTGTGCACATGTAGTCAGATATTCTGTTGAGGTCATTTAAACTTTAATTGTTGCAGGTCCAGCAACATCAGGGACCTGAAACGACGCCATTGGGCTCGCTACCAGGATGGGTGGTGTTGATGGCGATGGTGCTATTTGTCTTACTCCTCGGCTCCTTAGTTATTCTCTGTCGTCGCAAATCGCATAATCGGAAGCAAATGAGTGATTTGGACGTGCTAGATACCTATAAACAAGGTGAGCGACTTAAGTAGTAGTCTAGACTCTTTCATGAATTTATTAGCACTGGGATAATGGGCGTGTTGTGATGCTTCCTGGAATTCACGGGTGTGGGAAAATGGGGATGAGCGGAATTTTGAGTTTCGATGAGTTTCAGGTTTTCCCTTTTGGTTGTTTCCCATTTGTTTTCCGCTCATCCCAAATGGGGAAGGACGTCCATGTTGAGCTTGTGCTGCTATTTTTCGCTTTCGTATTGTGTTGACCCGTGCTATGGTTTTTTACAGACACGATGACACCCGACTACAGTTCCGGTAATCGTCAATTCACGGACGCATTCCGGTCTGCCGGAAAACGTAAGTGACGCTTCCTGTGTTAGAAAAGATCCGTCCATCCCCCTTGCTTGGAATGGCTAGTGTTCTGTGTGATATGCATCTCTCGATTTTCCCTGCGGACGTTTGATGCTACAGTAAGACAATTATTTGATTTCAGTGAATGCACCACTTATACCGTCCTACGGAGGAAGCTCTGTCTCTCAACCACCACCTTATTACGGTAGTGGTGGAGCTGCAGCCACTGCATATAAGCCCTACGTCGATCCGACTGCTTACGAGGATCCGAATCAGGTAATTTACTCACTTCATAAAGGTTACGGTATGGGGATAGGAGAAATGGTGATGTCATAACGCCCTCCCCCTCGCCCTTCTCATCCTGCCTACCATCTTACCAAGTTTTCCTAACTTCCTACCACCTTTCCCGTATATTTGCCTGGAAAATGTACTCCTAAAGGGGAGGGGAGGGGTGCATAGCGCACGTGGAACGGAAAAAACCTAAAATGTCCTAGTAGTCCCAAGGGGTGCCATCGAGGGGAGCTAAAGATCGTCGCAAAACAGCTGCTAATTTCAACCATTGAAACTAAGAATCGTGTAGAACTCTGACGCCCCACCACCCCCCTACGCAGAAAAAAAAAGTTGTTCGAGAGGGTTGCACACAAAATGGAAAACTTGCAAAAGACAACCAACGCAACCGAAAAAATTTCTCTCTGGAAAATTGACTTGGCTTGGAAAAGCTCTTGTCAAGATCGGATGTGATCTCCATCGACTCCCACCAACTAAGTGCCTTTCGCATTTCCGTTGACCCCTGAGCAGGAACGTCCTGCCTTTCTATGATACTGCCACCAATTATTATTTTTAAGGCTCTGGTCGAGTTCACGTTCGACATCGATCCTGCAGCCGTGTTTATCACGGAAGTGATTGGTGGAGGAGAATTTGGCGATGTGTGCAAAGGAGGCCTCAAGAGAAACATGGTCGGAGGAGGAATCGCCAACAGCATATTTGACAACGAGGTAAGATCTGCTAGATTTCTCCCCTGAGCTACATCCGGTCGCCCGAATAAACTAATTTCGAAATTTCCTCCTTCCAGATTGACGTGGTCGCCATAAAGACCTTAAAACCAGGCAGCAGCCCCAAAGCAAAAGCCGATTTTCTGTTGGAAGCGTCAATTATGGGACAGTTTTCCCATCCGAATGTGATTCGCTTAATTGGAGTGGTTACTCGTTCAGAACCTGCAATGATCGGTAGGTCTATCTTGTTGAACGGCACAGTCCGCGCTGATCGTGTGGGCGGAGTCAGGCACACCGCTGTGTTTTCCTGACTCCGCCCACACATGGGCTGGGTGCTACGCCTCATGCCTTCTGAGAAAGTGAGTGGAGGGTGCGCCAACGAACATGTTACAATGGTACGTCTGACCCAGCCCATGCGATCAGTACGGGATTTGGGTTTTGTGCGTGTACATGTCTACGGCAAGGGTGTTCGATTGTGAGTCATGTGCCATGGATGCGCGCGGTCGCGATGCGGTTAGTAAACTGTGAACATGTTGACAACATTTCTTAATAGACAAGGAGGAAAGACGATAGATGTTGGGGCTGCCCACTCGCCAACCGCGTCGCGACCGCACGCGTCCTCCCTGCCACGCCCCTCTCACCTGCTTTTCACAAATGTTGGATACCTTTATCAATTTTTTAAAATATATTTTGCGCTGATTCATGCTGAACTTCTCCTTTTTAGTGACAGAATTCATGTCGAATGGCTCGTTGGACCATTTACTTCGTGGAAAAGACGCGCGTGGTGAAGAACTGAGTTGGCCGCGTGTTGTCGATATGTTGAGGGGAATAGCGTCTGGTATGAAGTACTTGACAGATAAGGGATATGTGCACAGGGTGAGTTCCTTGCAAACTTTCATCTGTAAGCGTGGTGGCTGAATAAGGATGTTGAGGTAGTCATAGCAGGGCCAGGCCACGCCCCTTGTCTGTTCGTCCGCCATTCTCTCTGTAGAAAGTGCTCCATGAGTCTTGATGAGAACGCAGACCAGCAGAGAAGGGACGCGACACGGTATCGTCGTCTACTGTCCCCCAACTTCTTAATCGCCCGATGAACTTTTCGAAAAAATTTAATTCCCATCTAATTCTGCTCCTTCAGGATCTGGCCGCACGTAATGTACTAGTAGACTCGGAGCTCACTTGTAAAATTGCCGACTTTGGATTGTCACGTGGTGTTGACGACTCTGCTGAACAGGAATACACCACCAATGGCGGAAAGGTGGGTGCAGTCGACTAACTTTTGTGCACCGAAATTGGTGCCAAATACGATTTTAGAGGTTTACGAGCCTTGTTTTCAGATCCCGGTCCGCTGGACGTCACCCGAAGCCATTACCCATAGGAAATTCACGGCGGCATCTGATGTGTGGAGCTTTGGTGTGCTTGTCTGGGAAGTGTGCTCGTTCGGAGAACGGCCATATTGGGATTGGACAAACCAGAAGGTAAGCTGTGGAGCTCTCGGGTCTTCTTTGAAGCAATGGATAATGTTTCCCCTTCAGGTGATTAGCGAGATTATGCTCGGCTATCGTCTGCCGCCCCCTATGGACTGTCCAGTAGCGCTGCACCGACTGATGCTGTGGTGCTGGCGACTTGATCGTCATGAACGACCCACATTTGCGCAGATCTTGGCCATCCTGGAGAAATACGCCAGGAATCCTGATTTGATCTACGTGGATACCACTGCGTTCACCACCGGTCGCCTGGCGACTTCAACAGTGAAGTGAGTGGCCTTTATCGATTGATATTGATTAGGATTCAGAACTTCGAGCGGTCGAACTTATGGTCTTACTTTAGTGTCAATGGCAACACGTTCTGTCAACCGACGAGCTCACCAGGTGGTCCAATGATTCCCAACATTCATCCATCATCGCTACCTACGTTAGCGGATTTCCTGCGATCTCTAAATTTGAGCCATTATACGGAAAAACTCACCAAGGAGGGCATTTTCACAGTGACAGATCTTGCACGGCGAAGTCATCTGGATATGTTGGCTATCGGTGAGTTCTTCACTTTTGAATGGTTACATAAACTTCTGTTGACCTTGGGAATTTCACGTAGAGTGTCTTTAAGTTCGTTCCAACTTCCCAGTTAGCCATTGGGTTTTTCGATTTTATGTAACCGTACTGTTTTGTGGCTAATGGAGGTGGTGGGACAATGTGAGCAACCCGTTTCTCTCCTTGAGTGCACGCTTATAAAGCGATCGATTCACGTTGGCTGTATGGGCGGAGACAGTCTACCGTTGTGTCTGTCTTGGTGGCGCGTGGCTCATTTTTACCAGAGAAGGTGCCTCCACAGCTACAGGAAGGGTCAAGTTTGTGCCGGTCAAACAGCTCCCGGCGAGTGGCCACGTCGCAACCGCGTTGCGTCGGAAACCTCCGCCCATTTGTGCGCATGCAGTTATAGCGTATTGTGCCTTTCAGTTAGTTGCTATCCACCGCCTAATCGATGCAGACCCTCCTAGGGCCGGTCAGATAGACCCTGCGTTGGCTCATCGCAACCGCGTCGCGTCTGGGAAATCCCCGCCTAATTCGCGCATACCGGTTTTCGCGTAGTGTGTCTTTAAGTTCGTTCCTATGCTCCACTTAGTCGATGCTTACCCTTCCAAGCTGGTAAAGTAGGCCCGCTGTTGGTCAAATAGTGCCAATGCTAGGGATTCCTCAACGTACGCTATACGCGGACCGACTTCGAAAATCCGCCCACCTGGTAGTCGGGCCGCGTCGCAACCGCAACGCGCTCTTCAACTACTCACATCTACCTAGCATGATTCTTCTTTTCGGGCGCTGGTATGGCATAAGTTTGCAGTCCTATACGAAATAGATCTCTACCTGAGTCTTGGGAGTGAAAGAACTCTCAAGTGGATGATCACTTCTCACAAAGTGCAGAAGCCCTTTTTCCCAAAAAGGAGTCAATCCACTCGCACTGAAGCTTTCTACTGGGCTGCGGACCTCTGCTACACCTGCTCTTTTTCATTCCGAGCCTACTGATTTCCCGCTCCGGTTTTTGGAGCTATAAATTCTTAGCGCTTCTATTGTCGAATGTATGAACATTTTCATTGTTGTAGGTTTAATATCGGAAGAATTCCAACGAATTCGTAGCGCCTTGTCACAACTGCAAGACGCTCGCGGTATGTCACGAGCAGCTGAGGTGACGACGACGACGTTGCCGTTGCGATCGGCAACGATTCGGCCGTCGCGACATGACGACGGATTCTTCGTCTAAATGTATTGCCCATAGTACTGCCTGGTTCAGTTGAATTTGTACAATGTTTCCGATGAGTCTTAATTCCCGATGTGCAGGTATTTCCTTCATTATTCGTCGTGCGTTCCTGTCCTATGATCCCGGCTGATGTATTCTAAATTTTTCTATGTTTTTCTTTTGCGTTGATGACGCAGTCCATGGCTTTAACTAGGGGGTTTTTCATTTATTTGAAGCTCGTTTATTGACAGCTTGCATTGCAATTTGGTTCACTTCACACAGTATTTGTATAAGAACTGCATTTTCTTGTTGAAGCATTTTGAACAGCGAAATCTCGTCGTTTGCGCAGATTACAGGTATCTTGTTGCGAGGCAGTAATACATTGGAGATGTGTCTCACTTGGGATCGGACAGACTAGTGCACAGAGAAACCAGAGTTGAGCGACAGAGACGCAGAGAAGGTCCATCTTGTCTTCGCGTTTTTCGAGGTGATTCTCTTAGATCTGCAAAGATCCCACTGGGAATATATCGAAAAACACTAAAATGAGACGGGTTTCCTCTGCGTCTCTGTCGTGAGACTCTCCCTTCTCTGTGCTCAAACCTGTCCGAGCTCTATTAGAATTCGTAGCTGCCCACTATGGTTGGGACAAACTTCGCTGCCTGGCGACGAGGTACTGTAAGCGGCGTTATTCTCAAATTGTTGTCATGTTGTTACGGCTAATCTGGGCTAACAAATGTTCGTTGCTGAATCTACTGGTCGTCTATTTTTTTCTCGTCTTGTTGTTATGGTCCATTAGGGGACAAGCTTGCTTTCATTTTCTACGGCATGAATAAGTCCCCCCTACCCCTTCAATGTAAATTCTCATTTGATGTGTATTGCTCAAATTAAGTCGATATGTAGATGAAATACTGACGAGTGCCTCCTTAGTACTGATCGTTCGGCTTTTGTCTCTCCTCTAATCAATCAAATTTGCTCTTCAGAGGCTGAAGCTTCTGAAGTAGGTGAAGCCAACAGCGACCGTCGAGCTGGTCGCTCTAGGCCAAATATGCCCATTTTCGCAATGTGTTCAGCCCTCACTGTCTTGTTCTGTGATAGATTGTCGAATTTGGAAATGTGGACGAGTTGTCCGGTGGCAGTAGTTCGAATTAGCGCAACCACTGGACGTCTCGACCATGTGACCTCTGCCATGCCGAGGTTTGCTATTCTCCCAGAGCCTTTTTTGTTCATATTAAAAAAAGATGCATATATGTTGTGAATATTATTATCGTTTTTGCATTTGTCGTTAATAAACGTCTTTATAAATTTTGTGAACCACACTTTTGATTATTTCGAAGTAGCCGAAGTGGGTTAAAGACACGTTTAGCTGTCGAATGGGCGGACTAGGAGAACTGGGCGGAGACCTGCAATCTGTTGCGCACTTTTCATTGGTGCGCCGCTATTTCTGGTGTAATGTGGGGTAGAGTTACGCCAGTGAGGAAGGCTCAATGGTTGTGAATGCCGCCCTCTTTTGCGCCTATTTGGTTATCGCGGAATGGGCCTTCAAAGCGATTGTAGAGTACACACAGACTCGTTGCTCTCCATTTCGTCCACATCCAAACCGTCCACTGATCACCGCCCACCAAGCTTTTATGACGTCACTTTTACGCGTCGCGTGCGTGCGCCTGTGCGGTTACTTACCGCGGACAGAATGACGCTGCAGTTGTAAATTTTAACTGGTGTCTCAAGGCGCGTCATTTAATGCCAAATAGTAGATGAGGCGCTGTTTGTCGACGGGGGGGGGGGAGGGGGCATTTTGTATTATCATTGCTTCCCTAGTTCCGGTTTACAAATCTCACTCTGGTAAAACTTGTGAACTCTTGTGAAGCTGAAGTAAGATCGTCTAGCCACTATCCCGTGTCAACTCGAGAAACGGCTGCCTAGATGGGTCGACACATCTATGGAAAGCAAAATGCCCCCCCCCGTCGACAAACTGCGCCGTAGATGACTTTAGTTTGGAGCTTAGATCTCTGTTTCTTCGAGTTCGTTGATTGATAAAAGCGCTGAACCGCTCAGCTCTGGCTAATCCTATTCCGAAACGCGCCACACCTCATAGAGCGCAATTGGGTTTGGTGGGTGCACCAAATGGTACTCAGCAGAACTCGTGCAGGTCAGATTGCCAAGACTGTAAAATACTGTTTCTAAATAAGCTGATTTGTATCACCTTACAGCTTTCTTCATAACAGTTTACAAGTGTGATCCAAGTGAGGCCTTCTGGTGAGCATGAACTAGTGGAAGTATCAAATGCTCCTTCTCTTCCCCCCCCCCTCCAAGCCGAACGATTCATAGTAGGGATGTAGTGACTTCCGTGATGGTCTGAAGGCGTATCTGACCGTAAAATCCCTTAATGGGGCCTAGCCAGCGTGAAATTCAGTGGTTTCATTTCCCGTAGGCATCATTCTACCGCCCACCCTTCCCTACTTAATAAAAGGTTGAAATTAGCTGCGCGAAATTCATGACAGGGTATATACTAGGGCTATGCTATCAGTCGCCACTGCTCTCCATAGCTGCTAGTTTTGTTTGCTGCACAGGCTGGAACGTGTCAGGGTGGGGAGGTGGGGAGGGGGGTAGCGGAGAAGGGTTTGGTGCTGGCGCAGCTTTGCTGACACATTGAAGCTTCCGCAAGGAACAGGGCTGTATGTCAGTACAGAAACTCGTTAATAAGAGGCGTTCTGGCGACGGCTGCGTATTTCCGCGCCTATTCCATAGCTTAATACCTACGTCTCTGCGTCTATTTCGTCTGGACTTTCGCTGCTCGAGCCGTCACCTATCTTTTTGCGCTCAGATATGGGCCTTATGTCCAGGAGCTGACACATTTATCAAGATATATACTGAAAAAGCGCGTTGAAAACAGTTACAAAAAGCTAAATAACTCAAGGAGCTTCTGGAAAAAGT